ATTATTATAAAACAAAATCTTGCCATTACTCTAAAGTAAACTTATTTTTCCATTGTTAAAAATTGTTTTGAAAATAGTTTTTTTTAAGTAAATTTAATTAAAAATTTCTTTCATAATACATAAACATACATATGTAGGTATGTATGTATATACAATACTACTTTTTTATAAAAAACATTCCTCACATATTTTTCTTCCAGCGAAATTTCCTATTTCATACGCTTTCTCCTACCTTATATGCACCTCTAAACCGTTATTTTTCCAAAGCAGCTGCAATTTCAAAATGTTGTGTGTAATTTTGTAAATTATTGTGCTTGTTAACATGCCTGATAAAAATTTTTCTCAACCTAACTAATTTAATTCTAAACGCACCTTTACTCTTCTCCCAATATTTGTTTCTACCACTAGCAGCCATTAACGTTAACGTCTAAATACATATCTACATTTATTAAAAAATATTTATACTTGAATAATATGTATGTATGTAAATCCACTTACTGTGCCTAATCAAATTTTTGTTTTTGCCACTTCTGTTAATAACTATACATATAGTATCTGTATGTATGTTTCGTGTAACTGCTTAAACACTTTTAAAACACTTATTGCACTTTTTCATAATTTTTATATAAACATATGCACACTTATGCTTACAAACAAACACTAATTTCACTTTGACATTATCACACACACAGAGAATATGGAGACCGGTCAAGCGTTCGATTCCAATGCCATGACATTGACGCGGTTTGTGCTGCAGGAGCAACGCAAGTTCAAACATGCCACCGGCGATCTCTCACAATTGCTCAATTGCATACAGACAGCGATCAAGGCCATCGCCTCGGCGGTGCGTAAGGCTGGCATAGCCAAATTGCATGGCATAGCCGGCGATATCAATGTACAAGGTGAGGAGGTGAAGAAGCTAGATGTACTTTCGAATGAACTTTTTATCAATATGTTAAAATCGTCATACACCACGGCGCTGCTGGTGTCCGAAGAGAATGAAAATGCGATTGAGGTGGAGTTGGAGCGACAGGTATGTATGTGCGCAAAAGCCAAGTATATATGCAAATAAAAATAATTTAATGCAAAAAAATAACAAATTTCTATTTGCAATTCTTTTATACCTTGACACTACAGGGCAAATATGTGGTCTGCTTCGATCCGCTCGACGGTTCTTCGAACATCGATTGTTTGGTCTCGATCGGTTCAATCTTCGCCATTTATCGGCGTCAAACCGAAGGTGAACCCACCATACAAGATGCATTACAGCCGGGTAATAAAATTGTTGCCGCCGGTTATGCGCTTTATGGTTCAGCCACTGCTATTGTATTGAGTTTGGGTGCGGGCGTTAATGGTTTCACTTACGATCCGGCAATTGGTGAATTCATTTTGACCGATCCGAATATGCGTGTACCGGAAAAGGGTAAAATCTACTCGATTAACGAGGGTTATGCCTACGATTGGGATGCGGGCGTATTTGGTTATATTGCCGCTAAGAAGGATCCCAGCAAGGGTAAACCATATGGTGCACGCTATGTTGGCTCGATGGTGGCCGATGTACATCGCACCATTAAATATGGTGGTATTTTTATTTATCCTGCAACTAAGTCCGCACCAAACGGTAAATTGCGTCTGATGTACGAATGCAATCCGATGGCATTTTTGATGACACAAGCCGGCGGTTTGGCCAGTGATGGACGCATTGACATTTTGGATATTGTGCCGCAGAAAATACACGAACGCAGCCCCATTTTCCTCGGTTCCAAGCAGGATGTGGAGGAAGCGTTGAGTTACGTGCAAGCCGCGCAAAAGTAGCTGAAAAGCGCGAAAGTTTAGGTGCGAAAACACAGCTAAACATTTATTGTATTTGTGTTTTGCTCACGTTTGACTTATTACTGACTAAGAAATTGCCAATATAAGTTTATTGTTTACTAGCCTAAGATGATGATGCCTGATTAAGTTATATGAAAATGTGAAGACAATGGAAAAATTATATAAAAACAAAAATGAAAAATGCAAAAAAAAATTAATAGAAATTTAACTAAAAAAAATTAGGGGTAGTTTAAAAAATGAATAAAAAATAAAACTATTTTGTATAAAAAATATTGTTTACAGTATTTACTACATTAATTAAAATTAAGGACATTCCTTACACTCCCTATGTAGCTTACATAGGCCAAAGGTCAATTTACCGTTACTGATGTCATGTTATTTGGATTGTATACGTAAAGATTCCGATTTTTTATTTGTGAAGGGTATTAGAACTCCGGTAAAATAATTTAAAAAAAAATTAAAACCGTACAGAAACGATTTTGAGTCGATTTCTACTATACCCCAATTTCCCAATTCTCATTACGCCTCACAAGCGAGTTTTTTAATAGTTAAATATTGTGCTATATTAAAGTTTCAGCACAGTTAAACCAAATATGCTACGCTACAAGCATTCAAAAAGTCGTTTTGCAACACTATTACTCTAACGACAGAATTTTAGTTTGTACGCTAAGAATTTCTACTCCAAAAATATTTGAAAAACTTAATTCATGCTATTTAAAATTTTTTTATACGTTATTATACAGGTATAAATGTCAAACTTAATATTATATATATACACATATATGTATAACACTAAAGCACGCTTACTTGTGGCGCAATTACTTGCTTTTCTAACTTTAGTTTATTACTAGTATGCGTTGGCTTTATGCTTTGGCACAAATTTAAAACCAGCCGGCACCGGCCCCAATAACATTTCACTTAAGCGCACCCAATCAGTTGAATTGGGCGAGCTCATCAACGTTTCCATTTCATCACGTCCACGAAACTTTTGCGGACGTTGATTGATTTGTTGTGGCGGATTTGCCAATAGTTCATAGGGTATATAACGATACATGAACGATTGCCATTCGAGCAAAAAGCGACGTGTATTCTCCACACCTTTCATATCAGAGCCCCAATGTTCCAGGCCATAATTAACGTACGTACGTAAAATATCAAAACGTTGCATGGAAGTGGGATTCCAAGGCTTTTGTTCCCTAATCTCTTTGAAAATCCAAGGTTTTATTAAGGCACCGCGTCCAATCATCACAGAAGAAACGTGTGGCGCTTGTTCCTAGTAATTGAGCAACAGTAATTATTAATATTTATATTTATAATTACAATTTATTTCATTATATACCTACACTCTTCTCAATGTAGTCTTCAAAATTTAGTATATCACCATTGCCTATCACTGGTATATGTTTTACTTTTGCTGCACACTCCTCAATATACTGCCAGTTAGCGCTTTTCATGTAACGCTGCTCACGTGAACGTCCATGCAACTATTTATAATATTGAAAGTTATGTAATAAAAGCTTGAAATAAAAATTTACGTTACTAACCGTCACAGCAGCTGCACCCCATTCCTCCACTAATGGCATAAGCTCATGCGCTACACTCTTGTCGGCGTAGACACCGGTACGCATTTTCACTGTAAATGGTATTTTTGGCGACATTGCTGAACATGAACGTACAATTGTTTCCAATATATTTGTACGACGCATAAGTGCACTACCACCGCCATGTTGATAGATTAATTCAATGGGACAACCAATGTTTAGATCAATATAGTCGATACTTGCAGTCTCTTGTAGCAGTTGTGCGGCTTGCGCAATTATATTTGGATTATTGCCACATAACTGTACACCAAATACATCTTCGCTTACGTGTCGCTTCGTAAGCGCCCATTCTTGAGTGAGCCCCTTAACAAGTGGTACAGCGCAAGCCATTTCTCCGCATGTTATATCTGCACCAAATTCCTTGCAAATGCGTCGAAATGGTAAATTTCCTACAGTAGTCAGAGGAGAAAGTATCAGTTTTTCGGCGAAATCGACAGGTCGCTTTTGCGCTATATCACGTTCACCAGTTTCTGCGTCATCTACAACTGCACCAATTGGTTTCTCGGTGTCAGGTGAGTTCACTGCTTCTACAATTGCTTCAGTAGTGGTTTTATCTTCAACAATTGTGTCTTCAACAGGATTTTCGCTGTCATTCACCTCTCCTTTCTTTTTCCTTTCGTCACGCAATTTGTCGGCTTGGCTGACTAATTGTTTGCTGCGTGTGAAATCATACTCACGCTTTCGAAGTCTCACCTGCAGTTCTAACAATAATATAATTTTAATAAAAATAAATTAAATAAAAAATACAAAAAATTAACAGAAAAAGTTAATTTACCACTTGTTATTCCATTCATACTTGTGCGCGCTTTATTTTCGTCATAATGTGGTGACTTGATATTTCGTCCTTCAGCATCCAGATGCGCTTTAGCGAAACGGCAAGTAACGCCACGAGTACAAAATCCTATAGCGTCAAATACTGGACATTTTACACCAAGATCTTCGGGTTTCGACTTTAAGTATGCAGCTAGATCATGCACATACCGGCAATTTGCATGTGCACATTTTTCCAAATCCGGACCATTCATTAATGAATGACATAAGAATAGTGAACTGTCTTGCTTGAATACTGGGCGGTTCTAATTTGATATAGATTTTAGCAATATTTTTTGTTAATATATTTTTAACATGCACTCACTTTATTTTGACCACGTTTTCTTTCTTTTTTATTCGTTTTTTGATATTTTTGTGGTTTTCCATTCTCTGTTGCATTATCTTCGACAGATTTTCTTTTATTATCGTGCTCAACGGGATCTTGGTGTGCAGCATTGTTTTTTAATTCGGGTACAAGATACCTTTAAAATGATTTTTAATAAATTAACTGGAATATATTTATTTATATATTTTATCACTTACTCCTCTTTTATATAGCAAATTCCAGGCTCCATTTGTTTACTATTGTTTTGTGCGGCTGTAATAATTGCAATGAAAATGCATTGAATAAGCGGTAAGCACGTGTTGATAAAAATAGTGGTGAAACAGAGATGCCACGTTGTGAATGAAAACACAAAATACTTTTTTTTCATTTTTTTCATAATTTATAATTCCTATAGAACACAAACGTTGCTTTTTAGTCAAAGTACGAATTTAAGATTGAACAAAATTGAAATTCTTACATTTTTGACACATATATAAAATAGAAAAAAGAAAATTTTAAAAACAATTAGAAGACAGAATTTTTGGCAGAACATTTTTATGTACTCACCCGTTATCAGCAAAAACAGCTGATTTTTATTTGTCAATTTTATAATTTGCTGCTCATAGCACTTTTATTTTGCAACCGGCAAATCTTTCGGCATGAAATAAAATTATAAAATGGTACAACTATTTAAGTGTTTATTAAAAGCTGAAAGGAAGGTGCGTAATTTTCATTAATAAGTGCGTAAAATTCTTATTAAATTACTGTAGGTTGTACGCGCACACCTACGTAACGCTTTCATCGACAGTCTGCGTTTGACAGTGCGTGGTGGACACGGAGGAAATGGCATACCAAAATATGGTGGCATTGGTGGTCAGGGTGGCTGCGTATATTTTGTGGCTAAAGATGGTGTCAGTCTGCGCAATGTAGCACAGAAGTACAAAACAAAGCGTATAGCTGCTTCTAGTGGTGAAGACAGTAGTAAAGTGCGCATACTTGGACGTCGAGGTTTGGACGAGCGTGTCGAAGTGCCAACGGGTATACAAGTATATGACGAAAGTGGCCAGTTGTTGGGTGATTTAAATGAAGATAATGCAACATGCATTGCAGCAGGCGGTGGCACAGGCGGTTGTACGGGTAATAATTTTTTAGGTACACCTGGTGATCATCGTACGGTAAAATTGGATCTAAAATTGATTGCCGATGTTGGGCTTGTTGGATTTCCTAATGCTGGTAAAAGTACACTGCTCAAAGCTATTTCGAACGCAAATCCGAAAATTGCCTCTTATCCATGTAAGTTCTAGGTAAGGCTAATTCATGTAACAGTAATAATTTTTATTTTAACTTCAGTCACAACTATACGTCCTCAAATCGGCACTATAGAATATCCTGATTTACGTCAAATAACCCTTGCTGATTTGCCTGGTCTCATTGAGGGCGCACATGCAAATATTGGCATGGGTCATAAATTTTTGAAACACGTCGAACGTACTCGTCTACTGCTCATTATGGTGGATATATTTGGCTTCTGTTTAGGTGCACAGCATGCGAAACGAGATTGTTTGGAAAATATTTATGCGCTCAACAAAGAATTAGAACTATATGACGAGACGTTGTTAGATAAACCGTGCGTGTTACTGGTAAATAAAATGGATTTAAAAGGTGCTTCCGCTGTTTACAAAGCTATAAAACCAATTATCAATAATTTGGAGCATGGTTTGGAAAAATGTCCGGAAGAAATAAGACCATCAAAACTTATTAATATCGAACGTATTATACCTATATCTGCGAAAAACGAAAAACGCGTCGATGTTGTTAAAGAGGAACTGCGAGACGTCCTAGATAACGTAGCGGCGCGAAAATATGTGCCTGATGCATTGGAACTACGCGAGCAATTAAAAATAAAAATTGGTGAACGAGGACCAAAAATAACTTAATTTTATAGCGAAACTGTTATATTTATTTAAAAAGTGTAATAAATAAGAATAATTGTTTATTAAATAAGAAAAACAACTTTTGAAAATTATGCTGAGATCTCAGTTGATTTGACCATATCCATGATTCCTTAGTTTTTTAAATATCTATCTGAAACTTAGCACATGTGCTCTTTTCTCTAAAAAGTTATAATTTTTCAGAACCGCAGATATCGCACCATTCTATATCAATCAAAATCAAGTTGTATAGAAACTTTTGTGAAGGGTGTTATAGCTCGGCGCAACCGAAGTTAGTGTTTTTCTTGTTTTTTTTTCAATCTGGCAACATTTCTTACTTTTTCGAAAATGTGCCGTTACATCTATCAATTCGAATTTCTTCATATTATATTTTAAAATGTCAATAATTGTTCAATCAATTGTTTCTGAAAATAATTGAATTTCGTTTAAAACACAATATTTACGCAAATGG